GGAGGAGGAGGAGGAGGAGGCGCCGCCGCCTCTCGCCGCGAACTCTGCGAACGCGGCGAGCGTCTCCGTCCTCCTTCCTGCTTCCTCGTGCGCAGCCAATGGGCGCGCGTCGCTCCGCCGCTCTCTTCCCCGTGCCGGCCAATGGCGACCGGCCTTGACCGCCGCCGCTGGCCAATCACGGGGCGCGAACACCCGCCCGGCCCGGCCCGGCCCGRCTCGACCCGGCTCGGTCCGGCCCCACAGAGCGGTGCCCCTTTCCCCCCTCCCCCCCGGCAGGGCTGTATGTTTATAACACACATATATAATATATATAAAACACCATATAAGAGCGCAGTTACTGCTCGCCGAGGCTTCAAGGCTGCCTTTATCTTCTGCGGTCCTCACTCAGACTTCTGTTACCCCAAAAACTAAACGGGGTTGTTGGTACCTCTGTCAGTATCTCCGTGTGTGTGTATGTACCTTTACGGACACACACATATATACATATATGGATATATAAAGGCACTTTGGTGAGGCACTGTTAGCTGAATTTATGGATGTGAGAAAAAAAATGGAGAAGTAATACAGAGAGGTGCAATAAATCACATATAACATGTAGGGATATGATATATCCTATATAATCCTGAGGTGTGCAAAATGTGGTGTACAACACAGAGCACTGCAACATATCGTGTGTAATGCACAGGAGGGATGCGATACATTATATTCTGTATATATCATCTGCTATGGATAACGGCTGTGAACATGGATGTGCCCAGAGCAATCCCAGAGCAAGAGCGGAGAGTGCCTCGCAGGGACAAGCTTTGCAACCAGGTTTCCTTACATTCGGAGGGATGTTCCCATAATTTGGCACTTGCCTGTTGCTTCTCATCCTGTCCCTGGGCACCTTCCTCGCACCTTCCCTTCAGATGCCCATACGGCTTGATAACATCCCCTCTCCTCCATGCTAKAGAGCTCCATCTCTCTGAGCTTTCCTCACAGGAGATGCGGGACATGTTCAGCATCTCAGGAGCCCTGTGCTAGACTCGCTCCAGCAGCTCCATGTCACTCTTGTGCTGGGGAGCCCAGGACACTGCTGGCCTCCTTGGCCACCAGGGCACGTTGCTGGCTCATGCTCAGCTTGTTTTGGATGAAAACTGTCCTTGTGTCAGAGCAAGAGGAGCAAAACACTRTGTCTTGGGTGAGCTAAATGCAGGCACTAAAACACAGGCAGTTCCATCTCTGTGARAAGAAGAACTTCACTGTGAGGGTGAAAGAGCCCTGGAACAGGCTATGGAGTCTCCTTCTCTGGAGATCTTCCAAACCTACCTGAATGTGACCGGGTGCCACGTTCTCTGGGTGCTCCTGCTGGAGCAGGGAGGTTGGACTAGGTGATCCCTAGAGGTCCCTTCCAACCTCARTCATTCTGGGATTCTGTGCTTAGGGCAAWTTTCTTAACTGCTTGGGGGAAAACWGTRCCAAACATTGKTTGAGATGGACGCGCTGCTGTTAGCTCCGTTTGGACGCTAACAGCAACGGAGCCACCCCTTCTGCTCCTGCTGCTCGTGGTTCCCCTCAGGGTTCCCCAGGATGTTTGAGCTGGGATCTGCCTAATCCCGCCAAGCTCGGGCTGCTTCTTGCACCAGCCTGGGGAACAAAGTCATAATTCTCTCCCTCGCGAGCTCAACGGCCGTTGCTATGGGAATGCTCGCGTTGTCAGGGATTCAGCGGCACGGATTTTCCTGGAAGTGCAGGTAGGGAGAGGTGGTTTTCCAAGGCTCCAGCTTGCCCTCCTGGGAAGGTACCGCGCRGCTGAGGAGCGAAGGGAAGATGCCCAGCGCCCCACTGGAGCAGCCTCAGCGGGAGCTTCCCAACAGCCGCTGGATTTGGGCAGCTTCCAGGAGCAGCAGCGGGGGAGGCAGCTCCTCAGGAGCTACTTGGTGCTCTGTAGGAATTCCTGGAAATGCTGTGAATCTGAGGGCCCAGACAGTTAGGAATGGTGGGACTTGGCAACTCCTTGTCCCCAGCCAGGTGCGGAGGCCACATTCCCAGCTTGGAGAGGTCTCCTTGCTGCTGCCTTGGGGCTTCTCTCACATCAAAAACTGCCCTGTTTCTGCTGAATTAGCAGGGCAGAGCATGCRAGGGAGCTTTTGCACCAGCTTATGCCTAATGCCAACCTGGGCAGGTCACACCACGCAAGGTGCAAAGGGAGCAGTGACAAGAAGCAGGCACATCCTTCTGGGACCTCCTCTCAGCCATCCCCTCAGGGCTTCTCAGGAAACTGCTGCCAGGAGGAAATTTTAAAGGATGGGGACGTGGTATGGCACCCACGTTGCCTTTTTCCCTTCGGAAAACATCACATGGGATCAGGCCTAGAGTGTTTCTAAAATCACATGAGGTGATGGTCGCCACTTCTTTGTCACCCATGTGGCCAGTTGCAGCATCAGAGGGCGACTGGGGAGGTCTCAAGGGATCTGTTCTTGGCAGATCCTCAGTGGCCTCTTCCAGATGCCAGGCACATCCTCACCTTCCATGGGGAGGTGGCAAGAGGAAGACAGCATCTCTACCTAGTGCTTCCCAAAGGGAAACAGAGCTCCGGGTTTCTCCCTTCCTGCCATCCTGTCAGGATGGAGCATTTCATTAAAAAGGCCAAAGGTCCGTTATGGGACATGGCTGAGGGTGAGCAAGCCTGCAATTCAGCTCTATTTGCATACGAGGCAACGGGGAAAAATTCACAGACATGGAAGGCACTGGATCCCCTGGGGCCCAGCTCCTCTTCAGCCCAACAGGGCCTCAGCAGAGCTCATTGCCAGCGTGGTCCCTAGATCCACCTTTTGCCCCCTCCATGAGACATTTCATAAAACTTTAACGCTAATGCTCTGCCAAATGCCGATGACCCCAGAACAGATGCTTAAGTGCAACCTCAGATGAATAAATCATGGGGCTCTGAGCGAGGGGGAGCTGCAAGATGGGGAAGGAGAGGCCGGACACGTTTGAGCAGGGAGGCCACAGATTCAGACAACAGCAGTTGTGGGTGGTGTGGCCGCGACTCGAGCTGCTGCAGCCATTCCACAGGTTTCAATAAATAAAATCAAAGAGCTGAAGACGTTCCTCTAGTGTTTTTTTTTCCTTTCTCAGGTTGGGGAGGGTTTGGGGCTCCCCACCAATCCATGGGGCCCGTGGGGTCTTGACCTCAGCTGCTGGTTGTTCCACATGCCCCTTTCAGCCAGGGGCAGGTGGAGAGCAGGCGGTAATCCTGCTCCCCCTGCCCTTCCTATTGAAGAGCAACCTCCGGCCCTAACGGCCATGTTCATCCCAGCCCCAGAGCAGAGCTGCAACAGGAAAAACAGGCACCAGGACATAACTCAGCACCCAGCCCTTAAAACAGTCCGAGAAGCTGCTCTTTGCACTCACAGCTTCGCTGCCAAGTGGGATCTTCAGCYCCGGTCCAAAGGAGCCCAGGAGCAAAGTGAGGCAGAGCTTAAGGAATCTCTTTTTAAACCAGCTGAGGCTCTTACAAGATTCTGCATTTCCATGATGTTTGGGAAGAAGGGACCATCCCCAGGATTTCAGAAGTAGCTCCTAGGCCTGCAAGCACTGAAGTTTTAGTGGCCCTTTGAATAAATATTTAGTGAGCCTGACGGCAATACAAGAAAGCCCCATCTTCCTTCAGCCTACAGCATTTTAACKTAGCATTAGTTTTTGACACCTAGGAATAGAGAGATGTCACCTACAACCCAAAGCAGCCCACATAGCTTTAAGCTGTTCTGTGCTAAAACTCTCAGGAGGTTGCCTGGCTGTTAGGTAGCTGTTTAATCCAGTCTTCGATCCTGTTTACAGCAGCACGTTTCCTTCCATGATTCACGCTGAGGTGGCAGCACATGCTGCATTTTTCCCCTAATAATACCACATACACCTTAATTTGATGTATTCAATACTTCCTGAGAACATCCACAATTTCTGTTGTCACTCCCTCTAATCCAGCGAATGTGGGGTGTAAATACATATTTTTTTCCCCAAAAGAACATCCCCCCAAAAAGAAAAACAAACCCAAAACAACCTCAAAGTCAACCTCCTCCTGCCTGACTCATCCATGAGTGTCACATTGCAACTGTCCCTAGGATGATGAGGGATGTGACACCTCAGCTAGGAGGAGATGGCAGGAGGCAGCCGGTCAAAAGAGCCAAAGCTTCAGGCTGCACCCAGCTACCCTGGGAAGCTGCTGGGAAGGGAAAGGAAGCGTACGGAGAATGGGAAGCGGCTTTAATGAGGTTTTAGTAATCACAGCCTAAGACACTTGTGCAGCTAGGATGCTTCCATGTTGTTGACGGCTACCCCCCTGCCACGGTTYGGCTGACATTGGGTTTCCCAAAATGGAAGCAATTAATCCCAYTGGAATGTCGCAATGGGAAATTCCTCTCCCAAACAGGAGCATGCTACTGTGAGCTATTTAATGGCCCTTGGAGTTTTTCTAGAGGGAAAAATGTCTCCCAAGCCTGGTTGTGTTGTTGTTTTTGGATTGACTTTCCATACTCAGCAACGGCTGCCGCCTCTTCCAGGCATCGTGTTCGAGATGCTGTGTTCATATGCCCCTGGGATAACCTCAGCTCTGCAGCACTGAGAATCTGGATGGCTTATGAACAGGATGAATCAGGCTGCTCATGAGAAGGAGAGAAAAAAATAAAAGAAAGCTCCATTATTTTTCCTTCTCTCCTACAGTCTGATTCTGTCTTCAAAGCTCAAAGCAGCAGCATCTCTTCACAGGGTGGACAGGAAAAGAAGTGCCCAAAGAACCATCCCAGATCACGAGTGGGAAGAGGCTGTTGTGCGTCCCAGCTCTCCAGCCAAAGGCCTTGAGGTAGCCAGGGTACTGTTGCTCCAGGGGTTGGCGTTACTTAAAAGCAGCATTGAACGCCCGGCCGATGACAAGCCTGCGCACTTCGCTGGTGCCTGCCCCAATCTCATAGAGCTTGGCGTCACGCAGGAATCGCCCCATGGGGTAGTCGTTGATGTATCCGTTCCCACCTATTAAGGGAAGGACACCCTAAGTGCCACCTCTGAGCGCAGGCGCCTCACTCCGTGCCCTCACTCAGGCTCTTCCTCCAAGGAGGAAGATGCTGCCGGTGACTGCACCTTACCGAGGCACTGAATCCCATCCAGGGCTACCTGGGTAGCACACTCCGCTGAGWAGAGAATCACTCCAGCACAGTCCTGCGGGAGACAAAAGTCACTGAGGGAGTCAGGAAAAAGCAGCAACTGCCCCTTCTCCAAGCTTCGCGTCGAGCTGCCCTTTCCCTCCCTTCACAAACTCCTGCCAACGCTCYTCTGCTTCACCACAGAGGCACAGATCCATGTCCCAGCACGGGAGGAGAAAACACCCCAGCACCTGCACCCACTCGGGCCAGGGCCCTGCCGGAAGGTGCTGCCTTGAGGCGCAGGGCCCATGCGGAAACGAGCTCACCTTGGCGTTGAAGTGGCCTTGGTCGCAGGCCCTGGCCACATTGTAGACGTACTGTCGACAGGCCATGAGGCGGGTGTACATGTCTGCCATCTTGCCCTGCATGAGCTGTGCACCGCAACAGAGCATAAGAGACGTTTGGTGGGTCTCAAGAAGGGAAGGAGGGCCACGTGCTTCCAAGGCACTGGGGATCGCACGGTTAAGAAGCAAATGGGCAGCGGAAAGGAGATGGGCAGTATGAGGAAGCCAAAGACCCTGCTGACTCATGAACTCCTCCCAGATACTCAGGCCAGCAGAAACATCCCATTCCTGCCCTTCACCCACTAACCGTGGGTGGCCTTGGATAAACAGGCTCATGGGGATGCTGTCAGCTCCTCAGCACATCACTACAGTCCCAGCAGAAACTCCAGCTAGCAGCTTTCCCCAGCTCTCCCATGATAGAACAACTTGTTTTCTCAGAGTATTTTGCTTCTTTAAGAAAGAAAACCAGACATTATTTGCCATTGCTTTTCTGTCTCACCTGGAAGTGGCCAATTTTCTGTCCAAAYGCTTCTCTTGCATGGAGGTATGGAAATGCATGATCAAGAACAGCTTGCATGAGCCTAGGAAAACCACAGATATGCAGGAAGGGCAAAGGAGGATGAAGAAAACAGGGCAATTAATTAACAGAGAAGCAAWAATTTAATCTTGGAAGCACAGTCTAACACAAGAAGGTTCTCTGGCACCTAGAGAAGGATGCTACTACCTTCCTATAGCTATGCTCAAACAGTGCTAAAAATAAAATGTAAAGGTCCCAGTTTTCTGCCTTATGCTCTACATCCTGCTTATTTGGGACACTTCTTGTGGTAAGGTCTGCGGACTGAACTGGAGGGTTGAAGAGCTCTCTGACAACTGAATTTGGTCAAACTGTCCTAGCTAAAGTAGTACTAGCTAATACTATTAAAAATGTTCAGATGAGAATAATCATGAGAATTCTTCTCCTGCTTTACTGGAATATAAGTCTCTCCACGCAATGATTAATATAGAGATACAACCTGGGACGACAACAGGACAGCAAGTTAAAACGTGCTACTAGAGAGCTTAAAAGGACTGGCTAAGAAGAGCAATCCTTTTGCTTAACCCAGTGGTCCTTCCTCATGAAAGCTTGCATAATGTTTTAGACTATGTTACACTGCAGGGCAGGAATGCTCAACTTTTCCTTTTGGCACCATGTCCTCTACCCCTTGTCACTCAGTTTACGTTCCATATAGAAGCTCTTAAGGCGAGCAAAACAGTGCAAGTGACAAGGAGGGAGGTGAGGAGAGGTAAAGGAAAAGGAAGATGCTGGGCGTGCCCTCGGAGTTGACCACAACTGTGGGTAGCTGCAACACAAATGAGCAACTCCCTGCAACCACGGGACCTCCCTGCTCCTGCCTCTTCTTCTACTCATCTCCTCTGGCACAACTGTGACCCAGCCACCTCCTCGCAGCTCTGCTTGGCTCTCCACACCTGCCCAGCAACTCGGTCCTTCATCSGAGAGATCCTTCTGAGAGGTACAACCCCAGCTTGGGACCCACCACACTCAGTGACCACGAGGGGTTCTCCTGGCCTTCAAAATCTAGGGAAGCTGGAAGATCAACCTTACCCCAGCGGCCCACCAGACAGCACAAGCCTCTCCAGGTCCAAGCCGCTCATCAGAACGTAGACTCCTTTGCTCAGCTGCCCCAAGATGTTTTTGGCTGCAATCAAAGGAAAGCAACTTATCTATGTGTAAAACTCAACCCTCTACCCGGAAGACGTAGGCCCTCACACAGCTGCTTCTCAACTCAAACTGTCAGTCACTTTTGCCTTCTTCTCTAGCTTGAGACATGAGCATTCAGGAAGAGCAGGATGGGTTCTGAGTTTTGGCACATATTCCTTCTCCTCCTGAAATACCTTCCATTCCAGACAAAGGACAGTAGAGGGTTAAGACTTGCAGTCACAGCCACTGCTATTCTATTGCCCTGTCTTCTGAAGATGCCCTCCAGGGATCTTCCAGGCTTAACATTTGCATCAAGAAGAATAGGAAACTTAATTGCCTAGGAGGACAAAGTGACAGTCCTCTTCTCTAGCCCATTAGCTTCTATCTACTTCAAACACAGAGTGACCAGAAGTCCTTGCCCTAGGACATTGTGTATTTGAAATGAATGAATCCTGGTTGGACTCACTCAGGTAACCTCTCTGGCCATGCTTGTTACAGAGGCCAAAAGTTACAGGCAACCAGTCAAAACTCCCCACTTATCACTGGTAGGGGTGATAAACCTTCACAGATGGAAAACACACAAGCTGACATTCCCCTTGTTGTGAAGGGGGCTGAGCACACTGCAGTCATTACAAATACATACAAATATGAATGCAAATACTTGTTTAAAAGACAAGTACTATTCCCATGAAAAAGGAAGGGGAAAACAGCCCTGCTTCAGGCTTYGATCACAAGCAATCTGAAGCTCAAGGGCTGCTGTATTTCCTGCTTATTGACAAGCATGTTGATGGCTTGTATGGAGAAATGCAGGCTCTGTGGGACTGTCAGTGTCATATGGGAACCAGCAAGAGGAAGGAGGATGAAACCCTGCTGTCTGACAAAAAGCTAGTTGTGCTAGAGGACGTTTTGACCAACAAGAGCCTGCAGAGCTATGAAGAGGCACTAGACTGGTTCAGCCTCAGCTAGAAGATGAGATGCTGCATTAATGGCTAGAGGGCAAAGCACGTTAACTTTCAACACTGCCTTGATGCCCTTCTGTGAGTTATCATAGGATGGAAACCCTGTTAGCACAAAAACTGGCTGTTCTGTACGAGTGATTACCCAGGAGATGATCTGAAGACTCAGGCACCAGCCCTTCTTCTTTCAGGGTGGAGGAACCCAGTACAGTTAGAAGTGCTAGACTGAAGCTGAACCTCTCCTGCATGCTGCAATGAGGCCTCTGTTAGAACGGGGGAAGCAGCAGAGCCGGTCTGCAGATTTCACAATCACCATTTTCAGAAATTCAGATATGGGATCATCTTTTTTTGCTACATAGGGGCTTTGAGAGTTTTCCATCTACAAAATCAGCCATTAGCATTGCCCCCTTGTCAAGTGCATCCACTATCCTGCTGTTCTAAGTATGGGCGAATGTGTTGTCCTGTCTCAGGCCTTAATCTCAGGAGAATTTGAAAATATTATAGGCCAACCAGAAGTCTGACAGGCATCTGATTTTAGAGTCAGGGCTAATAGACTCTTCATATACCAGACAGAGAGCTCTAAAGGCAACAAAACAGCTCTCCTGTGCAGCTGCTAAGGAGCAGATCACTCTCTGGAAAGGCCTCTAGATCAGTCTGAACATGCACGTAGGTGGTGATCCGGCCTGCCTGACCAAGAAGCGAGACCCATGACATGCACATGGCTGTTAACTTGAGCACAACTTGCCTGGGATCTTGCAGTCTTCAAAGATCAGTTCACAAGTATTAGACCCCCTCATGCCCAACTTGTCAAGCTTCTGGGCTGTGCTGAAACCTGGCATTCCCTGCAAATAAAAAAAAAAAAAAAAAGAAAGAAAGAAAGAAAGAAAGAAAGAAAGAAAGAAAGAAAGAAAGAAAGAAAGAAAGAAAGAAAGAAAGAAAGAAACAGGAAAAAAGTGACTTCAAACTTTTCCATTCTGAAAGACTATATAAAATCATTACAGTCTTATAAGAACTTCCCTGACTACACAGACACACATGGTGTACCAGAAAGGGAGTCAAAAGGAACCACCTGCCCTGGAACAAAGTGCAAGTGGAAAAAAAGCAAACAAGTAGGGAAACATGCACAGCTTGAGGCACCACACTAACTTGGCAAGTGAATCCATTTTCTAACAGATAAAGAGTGTATAAATAATCTAGTACATATAGAGTGAATAAAAAATGATCTAGGCAGTTGCCAGCACTGGCACTCCAGTTCTGGAGTATGGATAAGAAGCTTTGGCCAGTGACTGAACAGCTCTAGCTCCTAGGTGGGTAAGGCCACCACAAGGTTTTCACCAGTTTTTCGCCTTTGCAGTATCATTTCTTCTATCACAGCCCCCTGCTATTTATATAACCACAAGAATAGATAACTGGGTAGCACGGCAGATCCACAAGGCCTCGCCTCCAGTACCCCCTGACAACTTTTGGGAATAGCATTTTCTCTATATTTCTAGAGCAAAAGGTCAGTTATGTGCATAGATGCCAAAATCCCAAAGCTCCCAGTGCAACAGGCTGCCTCACTGGGACAGGCGACTAATCTCAGCATGGCAGAGGGTAGCTTGCCTTTGAGCGAGGGTKAAACAGTCCCAGGAGAGTAAAATAAAATAAAGGTCTATTACACACCGACTTAAACCTACCTTTTCCACAATGAATGCAGTTATACCTCGGGAGGCTGGGACAGCATTAAGGTCAGTTTTAGCATAAACAATGAGCACRTCTGCATCTGGTCCATTGGTGATCCAAAATTTGTTCCCGTTCAAAACAAAATAGTCACCTAGAAGAAAGGAGGCAGACAATTGGTTAGCTCACAACACACCACCATCTATACTTTCACCCAAGCTGCTTCAGAGCAGGCTTCCAAGGATGCTCTTTGGGACTTCACAAACAGCATAAGTGAGAGACCAAAAGGATGTCCRCTTCAGTGCATCCAACCCTCCAGCCCATGGCTTCACCATCTTGCTAGGACGTTTCTGGGATACAGGACAAGCAGAAGCTTGGAAACACAACTCCAACGTACCCAAGACTGAACAGTGTTCAGAGTACTGGGAGGGTTAATATAAATTTAGAAGAGACATTTATGCTGGCCAGGAGAAACACTGGTGTGACCTATCAGGTAGCATATGACACCATTTACCTTTTTTATCTGCCTTCAGCCTCATGGAGACAACATCAGATCCAGAATTGGGCTCACTCATTGCTAGTGCTCCAATGTGCTCCCCACTGATTAGCTGGAAGGAAAGGCAAATGTAAAAAAAGGCAAGAAAATAGCACTGTTACATTTCCATTTCCTCTTCAGCCTGTCTTTCTGCACTGATTCTCACTATTAGTTGTTCAACTTGACCTTCACATGAGGACTATACCTTGTTCCCAGAATGCTCCCACGTGCTGCTGTGCTAAGGGAACAGATCCAAATCGCAGTGGGATGAGCTGGATGACTCAGCTTGTGTCTCAGGGTTTTAAAAGCAGACCTGTACTCATCCATCTCCAGGAAGTTGTTAAAAGAACCGTACAGGCAGCCATATGCCTCTCCCAAACTGCTTATGCTGCACTTTACAACTGCCCTTTTAAATAAACTGCAGTGGTTCAGCCCAAAAGACCAATGAGGAGGGTGAAAAGAGATTGTAAAGTGCTTAGCAATGTCAGAGTCTGAGCTACCAAAAGCCTAAGTCCCCATTCTCGTGCTAGGACAGCAGATGGGCACCCTCCTTCTGTGCCTGCTCATACCAGGCTCTGGCTGTTGCTTCCTCTTCTCTGCTCCTTTCATCCCGCCCTTTTCTCTTTGCCTCTTTTTTTTCTTCCCC